ATGTTAATGTTGTAATTATACTGATGAACAACATACCTTTAAACCACAGATGTCATCTGCCTCTAGTGGAAAAATAGAAACTTGGTCCATGTCAGCCAGCAGCTGATGACAATGGTTCTGGATATATTTCAGTGCACCTGGCTCCATAGTGATCACAGTCTCCCTTTCAATCGGCGTGGAAAGAAATTTCAGGATTGCAGTTCGCTTCTCGCTCTCCATCTCTTTCAGAGTCAACACATCAATGTTCCCTCCTCGCTCTGACGCCTTAACAGAGGAGAAATCCAGGGCCTGCAGGAACTCAGACCACTCTCTGCAATATAACATGGATTCATATTCCTTATCCAACGGTATGCTGAAGTGACACATCTGAGACGTTAAAAAGCTGAACGCCTGGTGAGCCGAGTTCTGGGACAGCGATGTGACCACAACTTCACAATCTGATACAGAGTAAATAGTAGGTGACGCGGTTTGATTCATGGTTTGCTGTAGTCTGTCTTTTACTTCTTTTCTTTCAAGGAACTGAGCCTTTTCTGGCTCGAGGGTGAAATGAGTTTTAACCATATTGCCAAGAAAGTCCATAATGGTTTGTTTTATCTGCTTCAACTTCTGTTTGTCACTTCCTTCAATGAGCAGGCCGTCATCTTTTACTTCGATGGCGAAATCTGGGTGAGCCTTGACAATATCCTGTGAAAGGGGGCTAAGTTGAAACAAAGCTAATTTCACTGGGTCAGCAATAGCAATATGGCTGAATTGTTTAACCACGCCCTTAGCTGGTTCCTTCACCCTCGCAGCGAGAGGCTCAGAAGTTGTCTGAGAAGAGGACTGACTGTCATCGTTGGTCTGCATCTGAATATCACCCAGATCCTCAGAGTTTCTGTTAGTTATATCTTGGCTTCCACTTCCAGAGTTCTGTGATGTTGTTTCTGTCGGTTGAAGAAAGTCAAAGTACGGCTTCACGAGGAGTTCAGCACCGTCCAGTTTGTGTTGTTGATTCAGGACAGGGCCTAAAGCTGTGACAAGAAATACAGTTTGTTTGTTGAGGAAACTGCAACAGCATGAGCTTTAACGGTCCAAACACTTACATTCATGGTGGACAAAAGAAACCTTTGCTGTCCCCTCTGATAGCATGGTGACGTCCTTCACCCTCTGATCGCCACCTCGCGTGCTCTCAAAGTAAAGCATGAGCAGCTCTTGAGTGGTGCCAGGGTTAAGCTTCTCCACTAAAACAGAGTCTGTTTGCTCAGTCTGTTCAAGTGTTACTTTGGCCCCTTCCAGTGTCCTCCTGGAGACCTTCGCACAGAGGGTTTGGAAATCTGTGCAGTAAAAATATATACATGAAAATGACAATAAGAACATTTGGACAGATTTAAAAAAACATCATTTTGGAAAAAAAGAACTGGGCGTTTTATAGACCTTCTGACAAGGGTTGGTTGAGTTGAATGAGGACAACATCCCTCCCCGATGAGGGATACAGGTGGTAGTCATTCGCATTCAACCCCATCTTGTTCTCCACAAAGAGTTCTATCATCTCAATGCTGGTGTTGGGGTTGATCCCCCGCAGCAACAGTCTGCATTGGTCCTTTGAGGCAGGCTTTCTCACGCTCAGCTTAACATTATGCAGAACATGGTGCCCTTTGGACAGCACTTGGGCTGCAGCTGTCAACATGATCAGAACAGAAATTAGAGAATTAGCATTCAGCATATTAATGACACACTAGAATGGCACTCAGTCGAGTGCATACCTCCACTGAGGCAGTCCCCTGAAATTCAATTAAGCTGCATACATACAAGTCCCCAAAATATACTTTTTTTTTTCATTTATAGCTCTGAATGTTTCCTTTTACTGCTCTACTGTTGCGTCGTGCCCCTCCTTCCTACTCACAATGGATTGGACACATCATACTGTGTATGAATTTAGAGAAAATCCGCTTCACTACCCTGGATCAGAGAAACAATTTGAGAAACCCACTACGGTTATTTCTAATAAGCTACCTTTTCTATTCAGTTTTTTCCTTGTTTTATTTATGTTCATTTGTTCATTTATTCATTGATACTTCATACTCATTATTTTCTAACTAATCTTTTTTATGTTGCCACTAGGGTAATTGCTTTTTTGTCTAGAATTTGAACTTGTTTATCCAGAGCCTAGGAAGTTGTGGTTGTTTGAATGTGTGCTTGTTCTTTGTTAAACTTGTGGACATACATGACATGTGAGTATTGTTCGATTAACAAAATCATTTTCCCTGAACAGATTGTTTTTATACACTGTTGACAATCAATTAAAAAAGATCTTGAGAAATTCACAAAAATGTCAATAAGAATGCCCTATCTTGTCCTATATGCCCTATATTGCGCTGGATAGTTACTACATCCATTCATACAGTTGCTGTTACTTCAGCTATTACTTCATATATGATTTTGTTTCCACGAAATTTGGATAAAGCACGTGAAAATTTTGACAGCAGCTCCTTCCAAAGGCAAACAAATCACAAAAATACACGTCCTTGATGAATATACGTTTTCTACTTGCCTTCCGCATCTTCAAACACCAATATGGCACGGTCGCCCTTTTTTTCAATGGAGACGAGTGGGCCTCCCCCAGAGCGGCGCTTATTCTCAAAGTACAGATACAGCAGCTCCTCATCGACTCCCTCAGGCAGCAGCAGCACCTCCACCGTCCTCTCCTCCAGGCTTTCAACTGGCATCCTGAAAAATACACAAACGCAAAAATCGCTCTCAATCAGTCAGTGTTCCAGTTCATTGTTTTCTAAATGTGAAATGTTTGACCCATTTATTCCATAACGTAAATGAATTAGTTTCTCATATAACAATGTGTCAAAAACATTAATTACAAGACAATTTATAGGATTTATGTTGTTTAAAACATGAAAAATATTACTTAATAATACATCCACAGGCTTTCCTTTTTCAATGTTTTTTTTAAATACTTTGATTATAAATATACTTTTTGTGCAACTAAATGTTAACATTTAGTTACTTCCACACAAAAGTAAAAACTTTTTGTGCTATCCGCAAGCAATGAAACAGAAAATAGCAGTTGGTTGATTTAATCTGAATTTATGCTGATTTATTTTAACAACCCATTAAACTTTAAAAATATAAGTCCAATCCTTTAACATAAGGGGAAAAAGCCCATTATGTTCCATTATGTTCTCTTGTTAAGAAACAGTCCAAGTCTGAGCCTATCAGTGTTTTTACATGTGCAGGAGTTTCCTGTAGCAAGTTATTTCCATTATGTGACTTCACTGAGCCTGATGTCCTGGATAACCTGTAACATGAAGTAATCAGTCTTTATTTATATAGTGCTTGTCTAGTTTTGATGACCACTCACTGTTTTTGCCAACCAACCATTCACACACATTCATTAAGTGTGTCTATGTGAAGCACTTCCTCTCTGAGAAGGGCAGTTTTTGGGGTTCGGTATCTTGCTCAAGGACACTTCAGAATGCGAAATGGGGAAGACTGGGATCGAACAACTGACCTAACGGCTGTTTAGTGGACGACCGGCCGCTCAATCCACCTGAAGCTGGTCATCAACTGGCTGAGTTTTCCTATCTGGTTCTAAGTGTGTTGTGGAAACAGCGGATGTACCTTGTACCCTAATTTACATGGTACATCACAAAAGAACAAGGAGTAAGATGCAAACAATATGATCACAGAACTGTCCAAGGAGGAACAAAATAAGACAGGCGACACGGTGGTACAGTGGTTAGCACTGTTGCCTCACAGCAATGGGATTTAATTTGAGGGCCACCTGAGAGCTTATGCAGTATAGTGTAGGTCCTCAGGTATGAATGTGAGTGTGAATGGTTGTTTGTCTCTGTATCTTGGCCCTGTGAAGGACTGGAGACCTGTCCAGGAAGTACCCAGCCTCTAACCCATGGAGTCATTTTTGTCTGATGACTAAGCTATTATGTCCATGTGATAGCAATAGTTAAGTAATGATAGACTGTTTATGCTGCCAAAGCAGACTGTGATCGTCTTTTATTAAACCTCCACTAACTGGAGACCGTCTTTTCTTATGTTGTTTTTCCATTAAGCCTCATTTGTATCCTATCAGAGTTGCTGTCTGATGAGGTCAAAGTCAATGAGATGTTCATTAATAATCATGGCAAATAATTAACAGTGTGTGTGGATCATCTTCTCTAATGGAGAACATGAGAGGGTTTGGTTATTTCCAATCATCATCACTGAGTCTCTTCATATAATTGTAAAATGTTGTGATCGAATACGAGAGTAAAAACATCACTGTCAGTTTGTTTGAAGCTCTGTTTTAAAATGGACGATTCCACTCATTTCTAAAAATATCTACTGCTCTTTATTAATTGTCACTTTAACTCTATTGTCCCTTCACAGTAAAGGAAGCAGATTTTAATAATAAACTGGATGTGGTGTCTGATTAATCATGTCCGTCAGTATTCAACCAATCATTGCTCTAACTTATTTACCTCAACATTTTGGTTTCTGTGCATTGATCAAAAAATCTGTCTGTCTGTGCCACACATATCTAGCAAACTGTTCATCTAATGGGCTTCACGCTTTGGGTTTGTATTACCCGAGGAAGAGCAGAGCTGAGTATGTTGTGGACACACTATACGCTGACTATTAATAAATTGTGAATAAAATTACCACCAGCGCTCTGGGGCAGTCAGTGGGGGTGGGACACAGTGTGTCCAGTTTGACAATTTGTCCTCAAAGTAAAATGTTTATTTTGTTGCTGCAGTGCTTTACATTGCGCTGAATTACAAATAATTTTACTTACTTTGAAATAAAAATTGTGAACTTTGGTCTGAAGACTGTGTCGTGAACAGAAATGAGATAGATGGCAAATAAAACAGGTAGAATGAAAGGAACGTTTTCTAACTTAACTCTGCACCATAGACTGTTTCTCTTCACACATCGTCCAGCACACAAACAATGAAAAGGGACAATAAATGAATAAGTAGCTCCAGAGAATTAACACAGGACAAGACAACCACACTACACTGCTCTGGCTATTACATTATATCAACATGTTCTTATTTAAAGGTCCAGTGTGTAAGATTTAGGTGAGAGGGAACTAATAGCAGAAATGTAATGTAGAATAATCCTCATGATGTTCTCACTCGTACGTTTCATCTAAATTGTATGAATTGTAGTTTTCTATACCCCAGAAAAGACTCTTTATATTCAAATACTTTATATTTACATCGAGGGGACCCTCTCTACGGAGGCCGCCATGTTTTTTACATCAGTCCTTTTGAGTTTTTATGACAACTGAAGCTACCACAGGTTCTTTTTCATGTTTGGAAGGAGAGGGTGAGGAGAGGGTGAGGTGAGGGGTGTTCAGCTGCAACATGCAACTTCAACACTAGATATCACTAAATTCTACACACTGTACCTTCAACTGGGTGATGTCAACTAATACACATCTTTGATCACACACCCAGGTGTTCAGGATTTCTTGTGTCCAGGATATGGCGTCTACAGACATACAAAAAAAAAAAAAACCCCAACCTGCATACTCCACATATCTGATCCCAGCCAGGATACCAGCAGAGTACTCTGTAATGACACTTACTGTACACAATAGATACTCTCACTGAGTATATCTTACAGTAGTAATATTCTGCTCATGTAAACTTTAAGCCACACATGTGAGTGGAGACAGTAAAGTGTGCTCGTCGTGGTTATGGCCTACACAGCAGCAGCAGCAGCAGCAGTAGCAGTAGCAGTAGTAGTAGTAGTAGTAGTAGTAGTGTTGCTACCTGGCAAGATGCTCGGCTACTGTGGGTTTGGACCAAACTCCCTTGAGGAAATGTCGATGCTAACAGTTTGTTGTTAGCTTTACTGCGCAGTTTCGCACAAGTTCACGTCGGGCTCAGCGCTGTCACTTCAAGCAGAAAGTGAAACCAAAGAGCCACAGACGCCGGAGCGGAGAGACAGTCGTGTGTGTCTCCTCAGGATAGAAGCAGGAGAGTGAAGGAGACGTGTCTGAACTCACCTGTGCTACAAAACACACATCGGCCCGCGGACTCGTCACTTCAGAAGGTTCGTCTGCAGACTCACGACTTCCTGGTTCGGCTGCGCGTTCACGGTCGTGCCGTGTTCTGCCTGCGCGCCGAGATGCGGGAGCGCGCACAGCTCCAACGGAATGACGCCGTCATGCGTAATCATCTCTATGGCAACGCCCCGCTTAAACACGATGGAGTCTCGTCTGTTGTTGTTTTTAATGATGATAAATGATCCGATGACTGTTTTTCACGATCGTTTGGAGTCAGTGATTCATTAGACTCTGCTGAAGAAGCGTTCCCCTGTGATCGGTCTGATCAGTCAATATTTGTGAGTTCGTAGGTGTTGATGTGGAAAAATCCCAAACTGGCTAAACTCAATCAAATAAAGTCTGAGCTGCAACATGTTCTCTTTTCACACACACGTGGGTTATATATCTGTAGAAATAGAGTTGTGTTGTGATGCATTATCTGTGGTATCTGTATTTGATGTGTATTTCAATCATTTGCATCCATTCTTTTCTCTGGCTATAGTGTTGGATGTGTGAAATTATTAATATTAGTCTGTCACTTTCAGAGGGGATGCATTATATATTTACATATATAACGCAATAGACTATTTTGCAGAATAACTATTTATCTGATATCTGATCTGAAATTTGTACATGACTTTAAGGCAGCAGAAGTAAAGCTGGAGCTAATTTGAATTATTTTATTTTAAGGGATTTATGAAATCTTTACCTACAGTGGCACAATACATCATCATTTATTTGTTGATTGTATTTTGTTTTGTTCATCTGAATAGAATGAAAAGCACAATTAAGTAGAAGTCAAGACTAAGTACCATGGAATTGTACTGTAGTACAGTAATAGGCACATGTACGGCTTTCTTCTGAATGAGAAATATAGATATAGACATTATTCCAGTAATGGGACGTAAATTAATTTAAAACTTTGATACTTAAATAAAAACTTCTAAAAGTCTTTTTTCACTGCAGGCATTGTGACGTGTCACCATAAGAAAACACAGATTAACATTGACAAACTCTGTTCTGTTCAAGAGTCACAGTAATTAATTTAATTATTTACAACTGGGATATGTCAATGTCTGCCATGAAAACTGACATATTAGTGTCAAAATATACTTAAAATATGCTTTTCAACATTTAAAACTACTTACTGCACAGTATTCCATTTCAGTATAATGATATATTTTTGGATTATAATTAGAGATGTAAATGTGTTAAATGCAACAGCTGGTGAAGCTGGAGCAAATGAGAACGGTGAATTTCCTCCCTGGGATAAATAAAATATTAACCTGCATTTCAACAATCCATCATAATTAAGCTGTGGATTATATTTAGTTTTGTTGATCTGAATGTACAAAATAGTGGCAAAAGTTATCAATTGATACTGACATACTAAATTATATTAGTTGGAAAAATCTCACCATAGAATCTGTTTAATAGCTCTGTTGGAGTTGGCCTGCCTGCACCCTTCCTTCCTTCCTTCCTTGCTTTGTTTTGTTCTTTCTTCAAGATCACTTTTATTCTCAACTTTGAAAAGTTTTGAAGTATTTGTACTTGAGTATTTTTATGTCATGCGAGTACTACTATATATTAAGTAGAAACAAACAAGAAACATGATTAACTATCATTGCATAAAGTCTCCTACATATACAAAGATAATAAGGTGAGACTTAAGGGTTATTTGTGCATAAAGAGGTCTTAACTTTAGGAATAATCTAAGGATACTGTGTTAATAACAATTCTGTTTTTTTTAAATTATCATTAAGTACAATTCTTAATACAATACTTTTGCTAGTGCTAATATTTACTGTATTATCATTGTGGTATGAGGATCTAAGTACTTTTTATATCATTACTTATTAAACATGATCAGAATATATATATATATATATATATATATAAACACTGTATGATGATGAAGCTTATAAAATCCGGATGAAATCTGTGCTGTATAATAGATGAGATACAGGCAGAAGTGAATGAGGCTCTTTGGCACTGACATGCATTTTATGAGTCACATAAAAGTCGTCATTTGTAATGATAGGTTGAAACTTATCTGATTTAAAGTGTGAGTACAATGGTGTCAGCACAGGCAGCATGATCTTAATGCTATCATAACTCTGCATGAGTGCTATATATAATGAGTGTATCATAAACACGCTCAGACTGAATGAGACCCTATTGGCTGTGATGGAAAGTATCACTCAAAATGACTCATAAACCATACATGGCATCATTTATGTGCGATGCAGAGCCTCCAGTAAATCAAATGCTTTTAAAGTGTGTATGTGCAACTGGATCTAACAGAACTCCTGCAACTTCAGATCTATTGATATCTCATAATTATGTTACATGATTTTAATATAAGTGGTGTATGATTCATGAACATGGCATACAAATTCTTATAGATGTCATCATTACCTGCTCAGATGCAGCTAATCAATGTGCAATGTACTGAACATTTTCAAATATGACAAGAGTGTGTCCCTATTCACTGGCTGGCATATAATTAAAGTGGTGCTACACAGGGTCCATGCAGTTCAGTGCATTCTACATTGCATTACCTTTCTATATCCATTACATGACCTTATACATAGATAATAAGCATGCCAGCCTGAAATTTTAATGTTACATGTAGAGCACATAAAGGCTGAACTACAAATACAGTGGGAGTGAACAGGACTCCATTGTCTAAATGGTATTCTTTATCTTATAAAATCTGATTATTTTGGCAACTAATTCCACAAACATCTGTCTGTCGTTTGTATTGTCGTGTATTTTGTGAACCGTTCAGCTTATCGGCTTCACACTTGTCATGTGTATTCTTAGTGGCTCAGGGAAGTGCAGTATCAAATTTGATCCGATTTGGGCATGTGATATATCCAATGTTAATAACATCTGAATAAAAAGGCAACCAGTGATCTGTAGCAGTAAATGGGACCTGGGCAATGTGTGTTCAGTCTATGAACTGAGTTGAACATGTCTTCTTCTAGGTCCTCAGATAAACTGCTGCAGTGGTCGGCAACTGGGTCAAACCGCAGGTCAACATCGCCGCCAGATCATATCAATAATTTGATTATTTATTTTTCACTATTTCTGATCTGAACAGACACACAGCACAGGCACTGATCTCCACACAAAACTCAACGTTTGTTATTGGTATAATGCTTGAGCTGAATTGGAAAGGTTTTATTTTGAAAAGTTCTGAACTTCTGTCTGAAGATGGTGTTGATTGTTTAAGAGACCTCTGAAACAGGTGACATGCAATGTGTGAAAAAAAAACAACAGTTCAGTAAATCCTTCAAACTTATATATAATTGTCACACGCAATAAAAATTAAATTGCAGATAAACCAGGTAGGATGGATACAAAGTCTTCCAACTTCACTCTGCACCATAGGCTGTTTATAAAAAGCTCTTCACACAACATCCAGCACACAAACAATAAAAAGTGACAGTATATAGTGGAACTGTTTGTGGAGGATTCACTAATGACAAGGAAGAATTCTGAAGTAGCTCTGGACCTTTAACACAGGACAAGAGAACAGTCCATTCCAAACAGGCAGGTTTAGAACGGGCACTCCACTTGTTTTAGTTTGTACTTTGAATCGTCTAGTGTATTAAACAAGGTTTACAAGTTTAAAAGCTATTATTACAGAATGTGAGTGCTGACTCAGCAACCACACTAATTACAATAATTGGTGAAAATGAAAGAGTTTTGCCCACAGCAGCCACAAAACAGCCGAACTGTGAAGTTGTGAAAAGCGAAAAAGAAATGTGTAGAAGCATCAAGAGCCAGTTCTTCAGGGATAACAACTGTAGCTTGGATAATCTCATCTAATCTTCAGTAGGCTACACAATTTAAAAAAAACATCATCCTGTCGAAACACAGTCAACCATTTATTATTTATACCACATACTAGATCCCAGTGGTGTGTGGTTATGATGTGATACCATCAGGATGTGTAACGTAATTATGTTGAGTCTTTAAGCAAAACACAGACTCATTTTAATTAAATGAAAACTGCTGATATCCACAGATTTTCATCATCTATTCATTTTAGGCTGTAAGGGTAGAATGAACACACTTATTACTGACAACCACAAAGAGAAGAGGACAAACTAATTCAAGCTGATTATTGACCATGTTCCTGATTTCATGCTTTAATAAAATACATCTGAAATGATAGAAACAAACCAAGTACCTGTGAGAATAAACAGAAAATTCCCAGTAGTGAAAAGCAGAAACAAGTTCAAGGTTATATTTTTCAGAGACAGGAATCTACCACGGAAACGTTTCTCTTCAAATGAGGCACATATTTAATTAAAATTATCTTACCTTGGATTTGTTCAGTGTAATGATGATTAATTCATACTGCAATTTGTAATATCCTTTATGTGAAACAGATTGGGGGGAAAAGCGTGTTTTACTTTGCTCAGAGAACAACTATGCATCTATATTACACCCCCTCTCCTCAGAATTTGCAAGAAGTTTGTGAAATGTATTAGTTAGAATCTATTGAGCTCCTTGTCATTTCCACACATTTCAGCTAATGAGCTGAAAATGGTATTATACAGAATTGTGCAAATCCACGGATAACTGAATATTACTGAATAATGCAAGGTTTTCATTATCTATCTCTCCCACACAAGACAGAACCAAGCAGCAAGCCATTGACCTTGACTTCTTCAGACTACACAAACAAATATACAAAGAAAATTTAAATGTGATATCTTTCTGAAGGGGCTGCTTTAATGGAGTTTATATAACAATTAAGACACATTTTCAGTTGAATGGAAAAGCAGGTAAAATACAGCAGGCTTTGTATTAGGTTTCATCATTAAACAATGAAAACAGTTGTAAATATTAAGTCATCACATCGTCTCTCAAAGGACAAATCAAGTGACGTTAATGCTGAAGCATGTTCCTGTCCACTAGGTGACAGTGTCCCCTGCAGAACAAACTGTTAATGCAAAGAGCGTGACTGACCAATTTGAACTCGACAAACAGTGAGGTTTCTCTTATTATCAACCTGCTCTCACACAGAGAGGAAAAAAAGATAATGAAGAAACTGACGGGGCTCAAGTCCCATTTTGAAACAAGGCACATGGAGCAAATCATAGTCTATTAGGCCTAGATATAGCACCGCCTGATGGATCTGGAATAATATGGACGATATTTCAGATCAGAGATTTGTTGGTGAAAATGACAACACGAGGGCGGGATAAGTGCTTTTGTGATTTCTGAAGCAATGAGTCACACATTTACAAGCACAGCAAAAGCAGTAATTTCAAGCTTTGAACAAAGAAAATGAGAGAAATCTGTTCAAACCCCTTCACCAACTAACAATGATCAAATTAAAACACGTTCTAAGAGAATTTTGGAAATATATAAAAAGTCAGAACTGAAGTGTTTACTTAAATTAGATATATAACACAACAAAGAGAGCAGTGAAGGGGTCTTATATTTTCTGAAGCCACTGCAGCTTTGTTTCAGCAAACCTGCAAAGATGTTGACGTAGCTACCTTCCAGTATTTTGCTCTGTGGCACAAACAAAAATCTCTAAAATGGCTTTTTTAGTATGTGTCATGCATATCATTTGTAAAATTTACACAAGAATAACATAATGCAAACTTGTAAAGATTGCTGACAATTTTAGAAATAACAAAAAAAGTTACAACACAGTACAATGAGTAAAAAAAAACTCCCATCAAAGGCACTTCACGCCTACTTTTACATATGTCACAGTGTACATTAGAAATGTACAGTACATCACTGATATAATGATAAGGCATCCCTGTGTAGGCTGTATCAGTTGTCCATCACTAAAGCCTGCAACCAGATAAAGAACCGTGTGTGTGAAAACTGTGTTATCCCTGACAACTCACTTCATACTGAGCCATATAGTTCAAATAAAACTGGTATTTACCTCTGCAGAGGTTTTGTTTTCACCCCTGTCTGTTTGTTTGTTTGTCAGCAGGATTACACAAAAATGACTGGACAGATTACCACGAAACTGGTGGAAGGATGCAGTAATAGTAAGGGAAGAACCAATACAATTTTTGTGTAGATCTGGTTAAGAGTATGAATCTAGAAAGCGCTGTGAGATAGATTTGTTTGTTGATTTCTCAGAGAAAAATGCATGCATGATTCATGTTTAGGGGACTGGTATTTATGAGTGAGGGAAATTTGGTGCACATCCAAATGAAAATGCAGATCTAGTGTATTTAAATGTAGTTTCATGAGGGGACTGTTGGGCATTGCTTGTCTATTAGTTAGCAGGATTATGAAAAAACTACCAGATGGTGGAAGGATGTGGCATGGGTCAGGGAAAACCCTTTTAAATTTAGGTTAGAATAAGGGGCAGATGCAGGATTTTTTTCCCTCCTTCTTGAACATTATGAAGTTCATGGATCTTGATATAAATAACCCAGACATATTGGGGGACTGATGTCTATGAGTTCGTGCAATTTAGTGCTTGATTGTTTCAGAGGACTGTTAAGCCTTGATAGATGTATAAGCCATTCCAGTTAATACGATATTTCTTGAACAGTTTTGATGTGAACATCGGCAGTCTTAGCTCTAGTTTGTTAGACTGTGTGGATATGTGCAGTTTGCAGGTTCTGCTGTACAATGACACTAAATGCCGACAGGTCATCGTGGAAGAAGCTACTTTTGAGATCACTGTGACAATGTCCTCTGTATTTTTCAGGGAATGTTTTGATTTTAGCAATCATGGCGGAAGTTTACACTCTACAGTTTAAAAGAGTCGACAGACATAGGAGCTCTGTGACGCTGGTGGTGCAATGGTTATGGGTGATGGTTTCACTTTGAGCACCTTAACACCAATCAATCATGATCTGAATGCCACAGACTATCTGAGCATGTTCATCTCTTTTTAGCCACAGTTTACTTTCTTATATGTCCAACACCATTGTAATGGTAACTTCTTGAAGGGCATTGCGCCACGTCTCAAAGCAAGTCTTCTCAAACTGGTTTTGTGAACATGGCAATAAGTTAAGTGACCTTCTCAGTCACCTGATGTCAACCCAGTAGAACACAATTTTGGCAGCTTGAGAGAAAGATGTGATGTAGTCATGTCAACATGGAGCAGAATCTTAAAGCAACGTTTCTTAGATTTCTCAATGCCACAAAGAAGGGAGGATGTTTGGATAGATTAGTTGGGCTCTACTCAGTTTTATCATCATGCTCCTGCTCCTTATTTTGGACTTGATTTTAAGTGTCCCTTGGCCTCATTGAGCTGTATTTTACAGCTGCAATCAGACGCAAGTACCTCTGCAGTGCAAGTAGTTTATGAGATTCACAATCAGACAGAGTGATGGAGAAAATTAATTATTTTTCTCATATTTGCCATTATTATAATATAAAACACATTCACTGCCATATGGTGGGATTTAATATGATGATATTTACAGTGTGATCAGTATATTTTTTTAATGTTGTGAAGCCTTTTTAAAATACTTTTTTCTTTATCCAGTGACATTTTATATTTAAAAAAGCTTCAGATATGAACGGAACCTTTTAGAATAGCAGACAGTGGTTATATTTGAGAGTCACATCAGAGACCTGATATAACTACACTGGACCATTAAAGTCTGTAGTTTAAGTTTTGTTTTTGAAAATCGCATATTCGCCTGCTGAGAAACAGAGGTTGTGTATCAACTCAGGGGCTGCATCCTTCAGAGGCTGCATTTGAAGACTATGCATATGTCAAAGTGGTGTGACTGTTCCATTTCAAAGGCTCCTTCAAATGTGACCAACTAATGTATCCTTTCATCTCAGAGAAACCAAGGCTCCATTGGATGGATCCTTCCCAGTCCAACCAGTCATTAGTCATTAAAAGAAGCGACATGTGATAATTCACGTTATCACACTCCAATTCAACCAAACAGCTAAAGAAACAAATGTTCAAAAACCAAGGGGCATTAAAACTGGTCCTGTCCAACTGCAGCGCTGTTGCTAAACAACAGTAATAAGGGCGCGACAAGTCGATGACAGCGATCACGGAAATTCTCTATAGACTGGACCGTCACATTTCAGTTCGGCCTTCGTGATCCATGTGGCCCACACAGACGGCCTCCTTCATGCCCCGAAGGAAGCAGCCCCTGAATTGGGAAAATAGGCTACAATCAAACCTAAACACTACACACAAAAATGCCAGATGCCACTTCTCAACAAAAAGTCTGATGACACCTAAAAATTCCAGATGCCACAATTGTCCTCAGGTGAAGCCTACTCCTCTGTGTGTTTATTGGTGGAATCATAGACTGTATATAAAGATGGACGACGCGTCTCCACTTCCCCCCTCTACTGGAAAAATGTATCTAAAATATCCCGGATACTAACGCTGCCATTTTGTACATTTGGAACCAGAGTCTGCGCAGTAGCTCGACCAATTGTGAGTCAGTCTCAGCTGTCAATCATGACGTCTCTTATATTTTTCATCAAATAACTAATTAACATTACACTTACATCAGTGTGATAATAACTACCTAAAATGACAGAAACCATCACGTGCACTTTGGCTATTTAGTTTGGCCCCATGTCTCATCCAGTTACATGGAGGAGGCAGGATTTATGACTCATACTGCAGCCAGCCATCAGGTGGCGATCGAGATGCTTTGGCCTTACTTTCATGACTCCCATCTTTATACACAGTCTATGGTTGGAGTGGAACACAAACCAACTAGCTGCACAACACAACCTACTGTAACAGTTGTGTGCGGTTGTGCAGTTGTGTACTCGGGCATAGAATAACACTACTGATGTGAAAGCTGAGTGGCAGGCAGAGAGGGGGAGGACAATCACACTGAGGCATGTTGCAAAGCGATTGTATGTAATATGAAACAAGTGGCAGTGTTGCTTAAGTCTTGTCTTGACATTGTGTCAAGGCTTTTTCTAGGAACAAAGAGAAACTGTGGGTTTGTCAATAGGAGAGACATTTCTCAAACAGTAGCTTCAGCGAGCAACAGAGAGCTGTAGAGTCGAGACGAGTTCGTTTGACAATGTCTTTGGAAATCATTGAAATGTTCTTTCACCGTGCGGTGAAAGGAAAAATCATCATTTAAAGCCTGTCTGTGAGTGTGTGAGGTTCGTCTCACTACACATAACAGGGTTGGTATCATCTGCCTTTAAACATTTGGATTTTGTGCTTGTCTGCCAGCAGCAAGGTGACGTTATATTCGTAATCTCCGTCGTGGACCACCGTGTCTCTGAAAGCTCCTGCTAAGTGGTTGTCCTCCCAATAGTGGTGCCAGTTTCCGTACTGGTCAGCTCCAAATCCAAACACACTGACCTGGAGGAGGCGAGAAACACAATCCCAGTGTCATCAGCACAAGCTTGAATTTTATTTATTCATGCGTGGAGCTTGTTGAATTTTCACATCAGTTCAGCTCCACAGCTCCTTATTTCTAAAAACTCAGCTCATTATGATTCTTAAACCGCAATCTCATAAAACATGAAGGAAGCTGTCCTTGTATGGTCATTCCCCTTCTCTGAGGAACTCTTGTTTGTCAAGGTGGTGTAATGTCTGTGCTTCACACTGTAGCTCTTACCTTATCACATATGTGGAGGGCGAGCAGTAAGCTGAGGAAGCCGGTCGAAGGGTATCGCCCGTGACCCTCGAGCCAAGACTCGTAGACATATTTGAAAAATGTGGGACTGTAAATTAACACCTGCAAAAGAATTATAGGAATTTCAGCTATGGTAATTAACAGAGAGAGAAAGATTCATGTGCGTATTCTGAATTTCTTACAACCTTTTATTGTTCCATAAATAAATAGGTAATGAACTCATACAGAGTCAAAAATACAGTGTACTTCTGATATAAAGGCTTTGACTGCTCCAGCAGCACCGTGACTGAAAGGTGGTCGATAGTGTGCCACTCTCGTTTAGCTGACATTGGCTTAAAAGCTTTTTTTTCTCCAATAGTTCTTCATGGTGAGTGACATGTTTTATGTTGCTGGCTTTACTGGCTGACCACTTCTGACTCCTGTATGATGATTCTTATGAACATGCTGCTGCTGTGGTACCAGTACACCTCATGGACCACTGTTTGTCCACTCACACATTTCACATATCACAAACAGATATTATGCCATATTCAAATTTTGTGATGCTTGTTATCTGTACACAGACGTAAGCTGTAGTTAGAGCTAGAAATGCTAGAGTAGCAAAGCAAAGATAAATGCAAATGCTTTGCATTTATCACAAAAATAGCTGCATTCAGATTAAACCGACATTATATCAGATTATATTTGT